AAAAAAAAAAAAAAAAAAAAACGATATTCTACGATATCCCATTAAGTCCCGTCGCATGAAATTTTGAACTTGCGTTTATTCAGTATTTGAACGTTGGTTTGTTTGGTTTTCTCCGATTGGAAATTGTTTGGTACTTTTGAAAATCTTATTATATTCTGTATATTCTGTATATTATATTAAGGTATCTGTTAATAAATTTTGGATTTTATTTTTTCGAAATCGATATGGACGCAAGACCTCATATTACAAGACAGAAATTTTCAGAGTTAGATTACGAAATTGTCCCTCATTCACTCCATTTCCCAGTTCTGTCCCCTAGTTTTCATCTTTTCAGAAGTTTTGGAATCATTCTTGCGTCAAAAAATATTCAGAAATCTCTATCTAATCCAGCCTTATTTATCGCTTCAAAAAACCACGATTTCTTCGCAAAGAGTACTTTCTTCATTAGAAGAATATCGTGGATGCAAATGGTGCTTACTTTGATTGAAAGTCGAAAATAATTTTCCAAAGGTATGTAAAAATCATTTCGATGTGATACGATCTAGTAGTTGTATTTTAAACGACTATTCTAGTTAATGAATAATGAAAGCATGATATTGAAAAGAACCTTGTATACCTCGAGTCCGAGATCTTATGAGCGAGATTACTGAAATACTAGGTCAGACATGGTTATAACGTTTAATTTGGTTTTAAAATGACGTAGGAAATATGAAGCAATTATTATAAAAGAGATTGAAGAAGAATAAGAAAAAAAAGAAAAAAACAGAGAATATAGAACAATTTCGTAAAAGTGCAAACGATCGCACATTTACAAAATTTCGATTGTCGAATTTTCGCGGCGGTGTTTGAAATAACGCGTTAAATTGCAAATTTCGCAGCAGTCGAATTATTTTCGGAAAGGAAATTCCTGTTACATACAATTACGAGGATTTGATGATCATTGCATTTCCTTTTCACTGCGTCCACCTGAACCGTACATACCTGAAACAAAAAACATTCTGTGAGTAACGTTGCAGATAAAGCGAATAAAAAAAATTGAATGTAAAACGAACAGCGTTAGTTTCCGAATGACATTAGAATTTGACGTATAAACGGAAACAAAAATTTTAAAAATTGTTTCTCGATCTTCGAATAATAATAATACATTTGACACTTATTTTCTAATAATAAAATAATATAAAACTCGAATCTTTTAAAGATAAACTTGATGTAAAACGATAATGGTAATATCATAATGGTACATGACCATTTAGTACAAGTACTAAATGGTCATTTTCTCTCTCTCTCTCTCTTTCTCTCTTTCTCGAGAGAGATATGCACTGATTGTCACGTGCTTAATGCCATTATACAGGTTTCCTGTTCTGTCGTATAGCGCTATTCGAAGGAATACTAGGAGGTTGTAAATCTCATTGGACTTGCGACGATATTCGGTTCGATGTTACGTGTCAAATTAACATCCCACGGCTGCTTCAATTGGCATGATCAAGTAGAACGTACTTTATGAGTATAACAGGATGATTTAAGTGCGTTTTATCTCCAGACTTTCGCAGAAATAGAATTCCCCGTGAATAAATAATATTAACCGATTCCGTACGTACTTACTCAACATCTTAGCAAGGTACAGGTGTGTCTAATAAATTTCGAAGCAGTCGTTGGATGAATAATTGATTTCCCTCTTCTACAGCGTGGCGCGAGTCCCATAGAATTTTAAGTAAAAATCGAATTCTCTGCGAACTGAACTCGCGTTTGATAATGATCTTTAATTTTTTAATCGACGATTTTGAAATACTTTTTTTGGTGAAACTCACTTTTTATTCTCGAAAAAATTCGAAGATTTTAAACTATGCAGGACGAAAAAAGTAAATAAATTGGACGATAAATCAAGAGTCGAAAACACTTTAATATTCTGTTAAAAGTTTTCGTAGTTTCTCACTTGTCTCTTTTTTTTTTTTGTTTGTTCTCAATTATCGGATTACACGCGCGCGCGCAAGCGGTGACCCAATAGACAAATTCGCTCGAGACTGACGCAATTTAATCTCGGAGGTGGTTAAAATAAGACAGACGAGTTTCTTAAAAATACCGTAAGACCGATTGCGTTGCATGCTCGACGTTTCTTAAATGGAACAATCTTACGCCCTTGAGCTTTCCTCCGGAATTTTGATCGATCTAACGGATGCATCAAGATTCAGGAAGCAAACTGCTCTCGCAAGTCTGCCTGCGGATGACGTCTTCCTCTGTTAGAAAGATAGAAATTAACAAACTCTTTCGTTATCTCGATATAATATACCTACTACCTGTAAGCGGCATCGTTTTCTATATAATTATACGATTATCAACGTCACGGTACCTTTAACGAGTGTCTCTCGTACAGCTACTTATTCTTATCTCTGGAATTAGGAATAATCGTCTAAACGTTTCAGTCGTGTATTTCTCATTATTAAAAATCTAATAACGACGCCAATTAAAGTTATATACTATTCCTTAATTTCCGACCTCTTCTATGATTTTTATATTGACAATATATTTCACAATGGTGTGCAACGATATTCGATTGAAAGAAAATTTTTAAATAAACCTCAAATTTCAAATAAACACCCGTCATGATGATTTATCGAATTCATCGTCAAACTTTGACAACGTCAAATATTAGTGATCGCCGTTCCTAAAATTGAACGAGAGCCAGTCGACAAACCCTCGGACACGTTCACAATCAGCCCAATCTGAACAAAGATTGACAGCGGGCGGCATTAATAGAAATTGAATATTTGCGTCGATCAGTCTCTCCCCTTTCTTGCAATCTCCCCTTTAGATCCCGACAAACATCTCCGGAATAAACCGCAGAAATTCTCATCTCCGTGCTCGCGATACACATTTTCCAGCTGGGAAAATCGAGCGCGTTTCACCTTGGCCGAACAATTTCCGCACGCTGATATCGGCGGTCTGGCTCGGGCGGTTCTGATCGCCGTGCGAAAACTAACGCTTCGCAAATCTCCGTCCCCTTTCTTCTCCTTCCTCTTTTCTCGGTTTTGATCTTTCTTACAACTTTGCACGAATAGAAAGTTCGAATAACTGTCTCGCAACTAATCAATAATTATGAACAATTTTTTAAGTAATTTACATTTCGCAACGAATGCTTTACAAATCTCTGTATCCTCTTATGCTCCTCCTCTCTTGTAATTTTAAAAGAATGCAAACATAGATAGCTTAAAGTAGAATTATTTAAATCAGATTCGAGTCTGAATAATTTTGTAATTAGCCAACAGTTATGAACAATTTTTAAGTGATGTTTACAATTCACAAATCTCCGTGTCTTTTTGTTCTTTCTTTCCCTCTCCTACAACTTTAGAAGAATACAAACATATATAGTTTAAAGCAGAATTATTTGGATCACATTCGAATTCCAAATAATTTGCCTTGTAATTAGCTAAAAGTTATAAACAAGTGGTTTAAGTGATTTAACTTTGAGAATAGGCTATTCTAAGTTATGATAGATAATGAAGATAACAATAAAAGATTTGAGAAACAAGTGAGTAATATATTTAGGAAAGGAAATTATATTTGATGAGAGCAACGAACATATTAATAAAACAGCAAATAAAATATATTATTATGCTATTAATACGATATTGTAGAATAGTCTATTAAATACATTAATTTAATAAAGTATAGTTTAGTAGAATATAATATTTAATAGACTGCACTCACAGTGTAAATTTTCTTTTATTCACCACTGTACATGGATAGTTTTCTCTGAGGCTATAACTCATACAAATCAAAAAAAAATTACAAAGAGGCACTATAATTATGGAATTAGAAGCCGAGTTTCTTAATAAAAAAATGAATTGATATTAAGCTCAAATTAAAAATATGCTGCCTTATTCTATTTTGCACAGCACAATTTTCTCTTCGACCGACAAATCCACAATTTTTCTCCGACGTTCATTCTCTCTTTTCATCATTCTCTTTCTTTCTTTAACATACCAACAAATATTATATAATATTATCATCCTGACAATCACTTCGTCGCACCATCTCTGCAATTCATTTTTACATTTTAAGTGAAGCTCGTAATTAGTTCAACTTGCTAAACTAATCATCGCAATTCTCACAATTCTAATATGTCCATAAAAGTAACCTATTGCCAGCACCTTAACGGAGAATCAGAGAAAGAGGAGCTCTGCTGCTTCGTCCTACTGTTTGGTCGCGAGCAATTACGAGCAGCGGAGCCATCTCGAAAAAGCAATTCCGCCGGTGCATCGAGACAGCTCCCTCAGTGCCGGTGTAAACA